GCTCAGACTCGTGTGAAAGTTCGGCTCGAGGCCAAGTCTGCTCGTGAACTTCTTCATTAAGGCTCCTCGTCATCTGGATCAGAGCAGCGGCACCCGCCGGTACCCACCGGTACCCACTGACGGTACCGGGCCTCCATCTTCTGGCCGGATACTGAAACTGCCTCTGAAACACAACAGCAGCTGATGAGCTCAGCAGAGTGACTGAGTTTTTAGTTCTGACGTCAACCTGCGCAGAAGCCTGACTGATGACGTCACTGACACGCACCAGGTTTACNGTCGTCCCTGCAGACCCACAATGCACCGAACACAAACCTGCAGCCCTCAGCGACCTGCATCCTGCTGCCAGCCGCCACTGAGCTCCCTGCAGCCGCCTGGAGGTCCGTCAGCCTCATCAGCACCAGCAGACGTCACATCTCCTCTGACTCCTCTGATTTATTCGCCCTCTCTGATCCCCATCGTCACGCTGGGCGTCAGGGATGATTCACAGATTGTGTTTGTAAAAGAGACAAAACTGCAGTTTAATCAAAGGAAGCTGATTCAAGCAGCAGAGAAACCAGAAGGACGAGCTGCTGCCGGGATGATCATCAGAGACACAAGAGGTTCCACCGGCCTTCATGGAACGATTCACTGTTATTTTACATGTTTTGGTAGTTTGATAGTTTGGATCAGTTACACATAGCTGGTAAAATGATAAACTCCACAAAACTGTAAATACCATCAAGAATCTATATTTCTACAAATGGTTATTTGTTCCTCTGTTAAAATAACATAATTTTTTGTTTTTACTCATTCAAATCAACAAAAACGACTTAAATTACAGAATTTACATGTTAACTTAAAAAAAAAACTGTCAAAATTGTAAATAATGTCAGAAATCTGTATTTTGTTTATTTATTTATTTATTTATTTACAAATGTTAATTAATTCCTTTACAACCTTTGATCATAAAATTATTTTTGAATAATTAAGAATTAATTATGTATTCAAATCAGGAAATACTATAGTATTTACGTTTTTAAAAAACAAAACTTATGTATATTAAGGATTGAAAATTTTAATTTTTTAACATTTTTTTTTTAATCAGATTTTCTCTGATTTGTTAATTTACAGATAATATCAAGTAAAATCACAGAAAAAAAGTATTATTATTACATTTAAACAAGCAAACAAACAAAAACCAGGTCAACATCAAAAACAAGTATATTTTACAGAAAATAATTTGTCGTTTTACAAATGTGTGACTGTAAAATTCCACCGTTTTATACTGAATTTAAATCAGCAAGAAAACATTATTATTTCACGTATTTTACTTGAATATTTAGATTTTTTTTTACAGATTTTCTGTTTTGTTCATTTACAAAAAATATAAAGTCACAGAAAAAAACCATTGATTTACACGTAGACGTGTCTTTACATTAAACAAAAAAGTGTCCAAAATAAAAACATCAAAAATAAGAATATTTACAAAGAATTTGACTGTAAAATTCCACCAGTTCATCCTGTATCTGCAAAAACAACATTGTTATATTAATGATATTTTCTGGTTTTTGAAAGAAAGTTCTGTATATTAAGGATTTAAAAGTGATCCGATCAAACCAGAAAACTGCTAAAAAATATATATTACTTTACAGATTTTTGCTGTTATTTTTACAGTTTTTACAGTTTTTCAGCATTTCACTGTTTTTAACGTAGATTTTTTTGTTAGATTTTATTAAGTTGATGCAACGTCACACCAAACCATCAAAATAACGTTCGTGTTAATTAACTGATGGAAGGAGCTCTCTTGTATTGGGCTTTTGGTAACAACATTTTTCAACGTTTTCTGACGCTTTACGGCCCGAACGACAAATCGATTCGTCCAGAAAACAACCAGCAATGAAACTAATTGCTAGCTGCCGTGTTTAGCGTCACGAGGCTGTTAAATGAGCATTTAGAGCTGGATGTGAGTCAGAATCCTCGGCGGTGTGGATTTATCCCGTAAACACGATTAAAGATAATGAAAAAGTGTCGCCGGTTTGTGTGCTTTTCTGTTGACAGACAACAAGCAGACGGAGAATAAAAGCTGCTCTGTTCCTCCCTTCAGTCAGCGAAGCCGCCGCCGCCGCAATTTAATCAGAAAAAAGTGTCACATTAATTCAGACAAATTCAGGCAATCTAGTTTTCTAATAAAGCTGTCATATTTGCATCCGCTGACTTACGCTCGCCATCGTTTCAGATTAATTCCCGTCACAAGCTTTTGATTTATGAATGCGTAATAAGTGAGGGCAGCGTCTGTGACTGTGTCTGCACGGCCTCGACTTTTAATCTGACGCGTTGCCTCCACAGCACAATCTCATCCTGAGCGCGTTGAGCAGGAACGTGGTCCTGAAGGAGCTGCAGCGCTGCTTCTGTTCACCTCCTTCAGCCCAAAGCAGCTCCTCACAGACTGTGTGGTCCATGACGCTGAAGGTCAACATCTGTTTATTTATGTTTATTTATGTTTTCTTCCAGTTTGCTCACATGAAGAGGTTGTTTTGTTCATGTCATTGTTGCTCAAGAGGAGGTTTTGCTGCCGCGCAGGAAGATTCACAAGAACACAGAACAGGAACGCTTTACTCCAGCCGCCACCAACGGGTTTCTGTTTCATTTAAAGAAAAGTACCAGTACGGAAAAGTAAAAATACTTTAATACAGGCAAATGTCCTGCAACAAAAATCCAGTTTAGGTAAAAAAGTACCAACAGGGTAAAGTAAAAGTACTCCATTACAAGTAAAAGTAATGCCTGGAAAATCCTACTTGAGTAAATGTACACCAAAAAGTAAAAGTACTCCATTACAAGTAAAGGCCCTTCATAAAAGATCAGACTTAAGTAAAAATACCAAAACAGCAAATTAGAAGTACTTGTTTTTTCCTCAAGTAAAAGTACTGCAAACTAAAAGTACTCCATTACAAGTAGAAGTCCAGCGTGAAAAGTTTTATAT